TTCACATATAAATCAAGTATAAAAATCAAACGAATATTCATATTTGACCTGATTGTTTATAGTTCATAATGCGTGATCAAAACCGAAAGTTTCTGTGATGACTGCCCTTGTACTGTTCACCATGTAAGAACTTATTCACTATGTAAGAATTTGTTCACCATGTAAGAACTTGTTTGTTATGCTTCAGAAGATTGGAGACTGATGAGAATTAGGCTTGGGGTGGATTAATGATTGTGCATTGAGCATTGAGTCCCCTATACAGAATTTTATTGTTGTTAACAACCATTTGATCAATAAATATGAGAGATGCCATCTCAAAAAAAAAGAAAAAAGACATATGAACCCATATGTTTATTGCAGCACTATTTACAATAGCCAAGATATGGAAGCAACCTAAGTGTCCATCAGTAGATGAGTGGCTAAAGAAGATGTGGTACATATATACAATGGAATACTATTCAGCCATAAGAAATAAATCTTACCATTTGAAACGACATGGATGGAGGTGGAGGATATTATGCTCAGTGAAATAAGCCAGGCAGAGAAAGACAAGTGCCAAATGATTTTCCTCATTTGTGGAGTATAACAACGAAGCAAAACTCAAGCAACAATATAGCAGCAGTGTTAGACTCCAAGAAGGTACTAGGGGTTATCAGTGTGGGAGGGCAGGTGGGGAGGCAGGGAGAAGGAGTTTGAGGGGTATTATGTTTAGTACACATGCTATGAGGGGTTACAGGGAAGACAGTGTAGCACAGTGAAGGCAAATAGTGAATCTGTGGCATCTTACTATATTGATGGACAGTGATTGCAATCGGGTATGGGTGGGGAGTTGATAATATGAGTAAATGTACTAACCACATTGTTTTTTCATGTGAAACCTTCATAAAACCTTAATACAAAATTTTTTTTTTAAAAAGGAGAGACGGTGTGTCTTCTCCTCATTTTTATTTATTTTTTCCCTGCTGACTGAAATAACAGGCTGAGTAGAACTGGAGGAGCCAGTTAGGTCCAAGGGGTTTGCATTTTAGGGATTAATGGAACCAAGAGTTTGAAGGTGACTGGGCCCCTGATGTTTATATCATCACACCAATTCCAGGTTATTTACCTTTGTACTAAATTCATGTGTGGGAAAAACAAACTTCCATCTTTTTAAAATTTCTGTTATTTTGAGTTTTCGACACTGCCATTTGACTTTAGACATAACACAAAAACATAAAGGACAAAGAAGCAAAGTTAGGGACTAGAGAGTGTCACTATGTGATATTTAGACAGGGTGATTGGGGAAGTACTCTATAAGGAATCAAAAGTTGAGCAGTCCTGAATGCATGAGGAAACGAACCATGTGGGTGGCGGGGAGGCATTTTCCAGAAAGCAGGAAATAGTAAAAACAAAGCCTAGAAATGGGAACATGCTTCTCTGTTCAAAGACCAGCAAGGAAGTCAACATGCCCTACCTTCCTAATCTCTTATCTTGTCATTCTCCCAAACAGAATTCCTTGCCTCCAGACCTTGTGGTGATTGGTCAGCTTTGTAGGCACTGTTTTCTATAGGGTCTCTACAAAAACTGTGACCTAGTCATGAGTCTAAGCTTTTACTCAGAGAGCTTCATGCCTAAACTTCTAACACCTATTTCAAAATGCTCCCTTATGTCACAATTCAAATATTCCCCATTTTTCTGAACCTAAATTCTCACTTAAGAGACATGCTTAAGGGATGTCTCTATTGACCCACGCCACATTGCTTGTTTCCTTCTTGAATCCATAGATATTATTGTCTATAGTTTCATTTTAATTGCTAATAATCTATCATTCTGTTCTAATTCATTTACGTGCCTCTTGCCAGCTCAGTTAAGATGTAGCATAATAGCTACATCTTAAAAAGTTTTAAAAATCTCTTTTGGCTTCTATCTCTTCAAACAGTAGTTACAACATAAAAACTTTGTTTGTTCATTCAACCATCTCACAAACTAGAAACACAATGGACAGAACCTAATCTTTCTCTGTCCTCCCTTAGCCAGGAAGATATGAGTAGCTGAAGTATTTGTGCTATATATAGCCAGTTGATGTCAGCTGGATGCCAGTCTCTTCAGAAAGGCTCAGTCCCCAGTCTGAGTCAGAGCTAGGGACCATGCCGTCCCAGGCTCAAGGGTAAAAACCATCGGGCCCAAGTGCCATCCATATTCCATCTCCAGTCTTCCCTCCACAAACTGGGATTCATCCCTGCTGAAAAGCACAGTCTAAGAGCAAGGTGAGTAAATGTTTTATTAGTCAGTTGACCAAGGAGGTTCAGAGTTGTGACTCACAGATGGGCATTCTTTACTTTAACAGATAGCTGTTCATGCCAGTATTAAAATGCCACACCAGAGTCCTAGTTTAATCTGGTATCCCTTTTTCATTCCTACAGTTTGCTGGAATTGATGTATTGTGATGCTGGTACAAATAAAGGCCAGTGAGGGAACAATGACAGATTAAAATAAACGGTGGAAAAGAGAAGAGGGGGTAGGGGGTATGTGGGGAGACACCAGCTCTTTCATTGCTTCTCATCGATGATCATTGTACTAGTGTATAGATAAGACTGGGCCTGAAACTCTGAGTACCACCCTCTGTTCACTGTGACATTGCCTGTCAATGAATAACATGCTCTGTTGCCAGACAAGGAATGCATATTGAAGTCTTTCAATATAAATTCTTAATAAAGAACAAAGATGCTCTCTTTCATAAAGATGATTATAAAACACTCCAAATGAGTATCTTTATATTGCCTCAGTAATGCTCCTTTATTTTTTACAGGGAACAAAAAGCCATGCTTTCACATAATACCATGGTGAAGCAGAAAAAACAGCAAACATCAGCCATCATGAAGGAGATCCATGGAAATGGTATCAATAAAAATCCTTTGTAGCATTAATATAGCTAGCACTAATGTAGATTCCTTCCTGATGTTTTTTAATAGTCTATAGTTCACTTTCTTTAAATTCTTCCTTTTCTGTCATAGGAAACCTGGAGCTCTAGGGGTCTAGAAAAGCCTATGGTAACTAATCCTTTTGTAGTCATCCTTTCTCGTTTGAAAGCTATTTTCAGAAGAACAACTGCTGTAAAGGAATGAAGCAAACTGACAGCTGATGTACATTCTGCTTGGCTTGCCTTTCACATTTCACATTATAAGTTAATATCACCCTCAATCCTTTTTTTTGGACAGGTCTCATATTTGTGTTCATCATCCATTCCACAGAGCATATCTTTATTTCTCTTACATTATATTATATAAATCATTCAAAATATAGTCTATCATTTTTTTATAAAAGGTGTTACTTAAGTTGGAATTCATATTCACTGTGAATTTCTTTAACCCTGAAAATTGTCTCCAATTGTTTAACGAAGATATTTGTGTGGAAATCTACTTTTATTCATAATTGCTAGGAAAATATAAAGTTCTTGTTGTTTCAAAGTCTACAACTCAAAACTTTTAATATAAATTAGATGGAAGATGATATTCCACTCTTTCCTTTTAAGTTCTAGCAAATAACTCTAGAAAGCAATGGCTTATGCATTGCGTTTTGTTATAGAGGAAATTCAACTTTGTTCATGAGCAAAGGATAGCATCAATGTTAAAAGTGGGTAAATAGAACATCCAGATCCTTTCAAGGGTTGATTTGAGCCACTCCAGACATAATAGTGGAGTTTTCGTGATACTTCCTTACTTCCCCTCCATTGACAAGGAATGTAACCTTTCACCTGAAAAATACTGATACCTAGAGGCAAGAGATCTGGTGGGGGTACCTGGGAACAGGGATAAGTATAGTATTTTCACATTCCACCTTTCATAAAGCAAGCTCAGTAGAACCAAAGATTATTCTAGATGCTCCCCATACAATGTAGTCACATCTAAGACGTCCTGTTGTTGAGTTTTGTTTCTTATTTACTGCAATATAAAACCAACTACTGGATTCAACTTAGTTCCCATGTTTTACTATGATGTCAAATTAGCTTGGAATAAAGTGAGAATAATTCTGAATCAGATCCTAGAATTGAATTTGTACCAATCCAAAGCTTGAAAATCCATGCTTCTTTTAACTGTTTTTATGTTATAATTCTCATGAGTTTATTTGATATAAGATTCATACTAAAAACCCAGTATCTCTAGTGCTTCTTTGTATTTCCTGCTTCAGGTAGTTTACTTGAAACTGTCTTTATAGTTTTCCTAATCAATAAGGCAAAAATCAGATGGTCGCTTGAGTTTGAGACTAAATTATTTACCTTAAAACTAGATTTGAGAGATTATCATTTTTTAATTGCAGCATAATTATAAATCAATTGATCCATTTAATGCATTCCCACTTTAAATCATGTGTTGGATTCTTCTCTATGTTATTCCTGACATAGACCTACAGGTTAAGAGTATCTTTTTTTTTTCTTGTAACATAACTTCTATGTTTATGAAATATAAAGAAAAATATAATTACATCTCAGAGTGAGGAAAAAACCCTCAAAACTACTGTCTCACCACCACTAGGTCCTGACCACATAAAGTCTGCTGAGACCTTCCTCCTCAGTCACGGGTAGATTTCTAGTCCCCCTTAAAGTGGAGTCACATGCTCTGCCTTTGTTTGGAGGTCAAGAATTCCAGATAATGCAGGGATCATCACAGACTCTTAACTCAGCTCAGATAAAATAGCCACAGTAACTATGAAGCAGCTTCAAAAATTTCCCTTATTTCCTCTGACACCTTCTGTGGAACTTAAGTATTTGCATACAAGATGGTGTTTAGAGATCTGGAGCTAGGGAACTATCATATTTTCTAAGGATGCAGAAATGAGATATGGACTGCAGGAAAACCTTGTTGAGAATAATCCTCCAAACTTTTACACATTTTATACAGCTGGATAATTTATGATACAGCACACTAAACAAATCAAGTTTGGATTGAGTTGTCCTTTAGAAAAAGGAACAGAGAAGGATGCTTTGTTTTCAAAGCCCTTCTCCCACCTCCTTCTCCCCTTGTGCATCAGGATTATTTTTTGTAGTATTATAACTGGTTTATTTTTTATATCACTTTTCAAATACATTTAGCCTGGAGGAGAATGAAGTATGACAATGAGACAGCAAAACTAATTGTCTTCTAAACATGACCTGGAGTTCAGTCCAGTTCTTGCTGTGGGGAGAAAGGTCACAGCTGGTGAGTCCTTGAAATCAATCAGTAGGAAAACATAAGAATTTTTTAAAAGGGAGAATTTTACATCAGCTCACTCATTCCATCTGAAGGAGAAACAACCACAAAAGAGTTACTGAGAAATCCTACCCATATAGACTAAAGTAATAGAACTGGGTAGAATGAGTAAAAAAGGTAGATAACTACTAGCCTCTACTAACTACACCCAAAATAGTTACTCATTATGGATTCATTATGTTTGGTGTCAAATTATGTACCAAAAGCACATATACCACATTTCCAACAAATAATAAAAAGTATCCCCTAATACTAAGGCTACATACTTTCAGACTTACCATTCTTATCATTATATCATATCTACTGCTGATGGTAGTAGTTGTCTTGTGTTACTATTCTGATACAAAACCTCTATGCCTTATACTGAAGTATCAGAGCTATGTTGCTACCATCTCATAAACGTTATTCTAAAAGTCAGAAACAAACTAAAAAATATTTTGCCATTTTCTGTGCATGAATTACTTGTGGGGGCAAGAAAAGATGTTTATAATAATTTCTTGCCCACCAGCTCTGTACTATTTACTCCTGAATCTGTACATGTTGTCCAGAGGTAGGCATATTCCTCTCTCACTCAGTAACTCATTTAAGACTTGAATACTGAAGGAAAAGAGGGAGAGAGAGTGAAGCATAAAAGGATAGGAAATAGCAAGTTGACAGAGAAGGAGAAGGAATAAGAATGGAAGAAGGAAAGGCAATCTAGAGCAACTGGTATCTGCCTAGAAATGAGGGGGAAAGGAAGTGGAATTAAAAGAATCAAGAACTGGGAGTACACTTGAACCTTCATCTTAAGCAGACACCGCCGTCAGTTTAAAAGAAACACTTCTGAAATAGGGAAGGGACTGTGTCCCATAAAGCTGCACCCTACAGTTTTCTCACCTGGGCTCTGCAAAGGCTTTTTTGGTATGTGTTTGTTTTTCCCACTCATGAGTAGTGAACAGCTGTTCCCAGAACACAGAAGAGGATGGGAGATTGTTTTTGTGATTTCAGGAAAGGAGTTTAGCTTTGTGGTCTGAAAACAGGAAGCCCGGGCTCTAAATGGAGTGCTGTTGCTGATACAACACCAGACGCCCTGGGTTCCAGACCAGACATCAGATTTCTGCCCTGAAAAGAGGGGGTCAGATTTGCTGAAACACTTATTTCCAAAATTCCGTGATTCTAATTTACTGACCTATATGCTGAAGTCAAACATCAGTGTATTTTGTCTCTACCCATAACAAAGGCAATGAAAATACTGACATAAATTGCAAGGGCACTTCGAAAAGTATAGAATACAGAATCTCAAATTTCACATGAAGAATTATGTGAAGACCCTTTTGTTTTTCCTAAGCTTATCCAAACTGCAGTTAATCAAATCATCAATGTCAAAATTAGGACACCAGGAAGGCCTTGAAAACAAAAGATCAAATGTGAAATTTTGAGGAGAAAAATAACTTAACCTAATGCTCCTGTGTACAAGTTTTTAGTTTTCTTTGCTTTACATTTTCACATTAGCATTCTCATAACCCCAAGAAAAAGCAAGTTTTATTTTGAAAACTGGTATGCAGTAATATCTTGTGAATTCCTAGATTTTTCAGAGCATGCCATAGATTTCTAAACCTCTAATAAGGCCCTCCAGAGAAGGAGCAGTAGGGAACTCAGCTAAATTCTAGTTTATACCCAAGTTGAAATTACAGTGTTTAATTCTAGCCACATTGTTCCATCATCCTTGGTCCTCTGTTGTGTTTTCCTCTCTGATATGCTCTAGTTTTACATCCTATAAATAGTACCAGATGATTGGGTCTGTGTAATTCAATTTGTGTAATTCAGTACATCGGTAATCTCATTTTTTAAGTGTTTATAGATTTATACATGTAGTATATGGTAACAGTCCAAGAGTAAATTTTTGAAAACTTTATAAAATAGTCTGAGAACTCAAATCAAGGCAAAAACATATGCAATAGGAAATAAAGACTCCCAGATGGCTTTCAAAATGAACTTTATAATGTAGAGAAAAAATTTAATAAATTTTTATCAATTGTGGACATATTCAAAATCACAGTCTGCACTATTATTATCTTTTATGTAATATGTATATATGTATGTTACATTATGAAATCATGTATATTTTATGGGGTACTATTCAATCCATTTAGGCCTACTGTCTGTAAACAGGCAGAAGGGTCTTGTGCAAAACACAGAAAAAATACCTTGGCTTCAATCAGGTTTCTAAGTAAATCAATAGGACCACCCTGAAGCAGTAAGCCAGTTTCAATTAATTCTCCTCCAGTGGTTTGGAGAACTGCCAGTGAATTATGGAAAACAGTTTTTAAAAACGTTTTATCTTACTACAATTATTTGTGAGTATCTTTACAAACTACAAATTGGATTCACTGATCTAACTAAATATGTAACTTTGTCAGGACCAAAATTTCAAATTAGAAATACAGAGCTACATGTGCAAAAACATAAATCTTTGTTGACTAAATTTCAGAAAGTTAACCTATGAAATAAATGTGAAAAAAGAAATGTTTCCTTTTGGAGGAATTTAGGTCCAGTGTCTGCTTATAAGACTACACATTGACATATGATTTGAAAAAGCAACTGATCACATTTTCAAACATCATTGACATTCACCCAGTAAAATGTAATTTTACATTTAGTTTCTCATACTCA